TGTAACAATTTTTTTTTGAACTTTTTTTGAAAACAATTTTTGAACACTGGATTTCCAGAAGCGTTGAAGGCAATTGAGCAACACTATTGTGGAAAGAAGCCATGTAGCACATTCTTTTTATCAGCCTTTACCATGCTAGGCTTTTGTTCGAAGTTCTAACAAAGGCCTAAAAGAACAGGTTGGCTTTAGACCGAGTGTTCTGTTAGTGCAGTTATCCGCTCGTGTGAGAATTGAAGTCTAATTTCCTGATTTTCTTTAATTCATGAGTATGTCCCAACACTCTCACTTTTTCGTATCAGAGACAATTTCTAGGAAAACTGCTGTTCTAACTGAGACCTTTTTTGGAGGCACCATGTAGATACTCAAAATCGGGAGTCATACGTGTACACCAATGTGTAAATGATCTTCTGCCGGAAGAAGCCAATTCTGAGTTCATGGGATCGGCAGTGTACGGTGGATAGAGTGATCAAGCGACCGCCTGGATGAATTCCGCTTAATCTTCTGTTCAGGCGGTTGTAATGAGATTTCTGGCTAAACAAGGTTTTAAAGAAGTAGCTTCCTGGGAAATTGTTGTTACAGGAACGCCAGCGATCAAATAAGTACTATAGTTGATCAAGAACATTGGGATTAATGACACATTGTGGTTCAATTTTTTAGACTAAAAGGTTCCTTTTTGGATGTTTCTTCAGGTGTAGCGTGCGTCAGAAAAACCACCACAATAGATTGTTTCAGGCATAGCTCAGGCGGAGTCATTGAGATTGACCAAGGTTATGTCGACGCTGTGGCTCCTCTTAAGCTATGTCTAAAACAATCCATTATGGTAGTCTATGAACCCAACGAATTTTCCTTCTACGAATAAAATTTGGTGCTTACTTTTGTGCCTAGAGAGAAAGAGAGAGAGTGGGGGAGGGAGGCCTTCAATTCCATTTTGGCACAACTTAACTTTCATTGTTGACTCTCGCCACCAGTTAGCGCTTCCTTTGATTTTAAAAATGACTATTAACAGCAACACTGCTAGACCTCGTTGAAGCTCATGTGAAGGGGCAACCTCCTGGATGAAAGCGGTCAGATATGATTCGCTCAAGCTTTCCTTATAGCAACATGTGTTGAACTCTTCAGTTCTCGGAGATTTCTATTTCCTCTCCAGATCTTTGCGTCACTTAGGTTTCTAAGGCCATCAACTGCTTGAATTCACCCACGTCTTTCGGAGCCTAAGGTCTTCGAGAAATAGCTGCTATCTCGAATCACTTGATGACCCTTGTCAATTTCTTTGCTCTCCTTCTGTTGATATACATTGAGCGCGGCGCGTTCCGAGTGGAATAAATCAGCACAATTCGGAACCACCGCCATCAAGGCCGATCTTAATCGCCTATAAATAACGGTAACGATGTTTTGTTGGTTTTCCGGTAGCGTCCAAAAATAGCTACTACTAAGTGGAGGCTCCGATTGAATTTTATCCTATTAGGTGTGTCTCTCGCCGAACATTCCACTGACACTGATAGTTGAACGATGAACGTGATCGGTCTTTGAACCTCGCTCGTAAGAGACCGACAGGATAGTTTATGGTGTAGGTTCCGAAAACGTCATTTCAGAGATCACTCCTGTTGAAGTACCCATCCAGTTCTTCCCTCTCTGAGCTTCCTTCAACAATTCTTGAGTGGTACAAGATATGTTGGCCTGTTGACCCTGCTTCAGGGAGAGCCGGCTATGTCAAGGCTTTTTCTTGAAGTAGATGACGTCAACAACAGCCTTTGGACAACAAATCAATATATTGATTAGAAAGAAAGATTTTAGCTGTGGCATCCTTGTAGGGTCATGATGTTGCAATTATTACAGCAGTCGGAGTGTATTTTACGCCCAGTTACCGTTTCCGGTCGCCGCTGTTTATGACTACGTGGAATGGCTGCATAAACATAAATCACACTGATAATAACAACTACTGACTGCAGTAATATTTTTTTCACGCTAATAATGACAATTAGTTAGTGCAGTAATATTTTTTGCTTGTAGGGCAATGGCTCTTTTTGCACCGTCTATGCATCCAAAATCAGTGTCTCAAAAAACTGCTGGTTGCATTGAACTGAAAGGCTCAGCCCATCGGCTGTTTATGAAAACGTCTTCGAATACGATTTCCATGTTCAATGTCAATCCTTCGACGATCGCCATTTCCCGAGGAGGGTGACGTGTAAATAAGTCCGAAATCTGTCAGCTCTTGTTTCATTGGTTTAAGCCGTCCTACAGTACCAGCCTTTTCTTTGAACACTGTGATCGCCCGGCTGACACCGACATCCCTAATTCTCATCACAAAGTGGATCCCTGATTGAGTCACAAACCTTCCTAACAATAAGTTGCGGTTCTTGTCTGATGCGAAGAATGAACCAAATTTTCATCTCTTCACGTGAAGAGTCAAACTCCCTTTAGATTACTAAAGGCGTAAGGATCTAAATGGTAAGTGACTTCCGCCTTCTATGGCTATTTATCAAACCTTATCGTCGCTATCACTCCCTATCACCAATCATCTTCGATCCCTTCACATCTCATACCACTCAGTGAGTACCGATTCCCCACTATTAACAAGAAGAGTGTTATAGAGCTAGTGGATCTCACTTTCTATGACACTTTTTTCAGATGTTATTAAATCCCTTCACTAATCATCTATGTACGTCCCTAACATCCCAGACCAACTAACAGAGTGCCAAGGCTTCATTTAACAACATCGTCAATCTTACACCACGAACGCTACAATGCTTCAAATTTCATTTATCGCAATTTTTAACTTCTAGAAGATAGCATAAGTTTTTTGAAGGGATAGTTTCGTAGCTGTTTAGCAAGTATTTACCTTCATGTTTCTCTCTTGAGAAACAAGGACATGGCTCATCCATTGAACTGTTTTGGCTATACATTCCGTTTGTTTTTTGCGACGCCATTATTCTGAACACCATGTAGGGGGATCATCATAAGCCATATGCCACGCAATGAAATCACTTTCAAGTTGAAATCGTTTGCCTGGAAAGAGGCCTAGCAGTCGTTACCAGTCAATTCTGCCTACGCTTTTAGCTCTACTGAAAATCTAACTTTTTCTACCTCGTAAAGTAGTAGCAGGTTTTACAAAAACCGTGGAAATAGGGGGTTTCGGAAAATTTCTTCTACCTACAATTCTCCAAAAAAGTT